TAGCTGCTCATCCCAGTGTAAGTTTCAAGTCTTAAAGTTATTTTCATTTCTGCCTCACTTCATATGTGGAGCACACAGGAGGTCACATTATCAAACAAATACACATCAAACAAGATCAAGGTTTTTCAAAATAAAATATTCAGCTTCTGAGTGAACTCATTTTAAACAAATCTGTGATTGTTTTCAGACTTTGTTCATCATTTGTTTGCCCTCATTATTTATCACTTCGGTGTCCTGTATGTTACAATAACAGAGTCACTGAGTGTGTTTCATCTTCAGGTTCAGCTGTTTGTGACATCAAACTGGTTCTGTGAGGTTTGAACAACACAAATTAATCCTCATGCAGAGATCAGCTGTTACAGTATAATTATTGATACTGAACCAACCTGCACCATAAACACTGCATGTGGTGAAGAAACGATGGATTACTGTGGATTATAAACGATCAGTGATCTGCCTGATAGTGTTTAGGATTTATTGATCATCTTCAACTGAATGAATATTACAATGTACAGTGTTATAATGTACAGTGTTACGTTATTTTTCAGTGTAACTGCAGATTTAGATGTTTTCTCTGATCTTTTCTTTCAATGAATGCATCTCTGTTACTGCAGTTTACATTTCAAAATCAGGTCAAATGTTATTGATTAATTAATGAATTTATTGATTGAATGAATTTATTTATTTTTTGTGACTCTGTTTATTGACAATAAAGTTTTGAAAACAATTTTATGACATGTTGTCTTTTCATTCTTTTCATTTAGTTCAGCAGAGTTTGAACTCAAAACTCGGACTAATCAGTGGCTCCAGTTTTGATGATGATGTCATCGTTAGGTTTGTGGTGTGTTGGAGCAAAACAATGAATTGCTATAGGTAAACTCCCGATTAGACTTCATGAAAATATTCTAAAATCATTTCTCCACATCAGCCTCATTGTCAAGCTCTCTAAGTTTGTGCAGCTTCCCCGCTTGAAAGGGATTGACGCATCTACCACAGGTGTTTAACTGGGTTTCACTCAATGACCAGGCAGATCTTTTGTTTTCCTTTTCTTTAATCTTCTTTTCGGCCACTGTCAGCCATAGGTGAAAAACCTTTAAATACAAACCAAAAAACCAAAATACAAATTATGTTTGTTATCACACATCTGCAAATATTGTAAACAATCCCAAACACACTTTCTTTTTTAAACACATCAATGCAGTGCATAAGCTTTGCAGTACAATATTTACTTGAGCATTTTTAAATGCTCAAATTATGTAATTCACCTTGACACATACTGCTTTCTACTAAAGTGCTAAATTAAATAATCAACTTGAGCAGTAACAATAGTACTTATAACCAGCTTCTCTTAACCATATGCAAGCATTAACAATCTTCCATATGCAGACCAACAATAGACAATGGTGCCGCTCGTAAACAGGCGACCAACTCACGGCACAGTGCTAATGCTATGTAAGCTAGCGGCAGCCGCGATTCTTTAGCAACTCGCTTCAAAGTCTTTTACCATAGTCAGCAACCATTCCCTTACCGGCTGCCTCCCTGGCTTTGTAGATACTTCAGTTCCACACAATATTCATGTTGGCGACAACTTATTGAAGGAATTATGCTGGGCTTTTCCCGAAAGTGGCACCTTCCTATTGCTTCCCAGTTCGCCTTTCTTTTTCTTCCCGACAGAAACCCAGACACAAGATTAGTTCCACCCTCCAGTCTGTCACGTTTACTTTTT